CACACACACACACACACACACACACACAATAAATGTTAAAAAAAAATGATATGTTAGCACATGCCTATAGTCAGCACTGAGAAGGAGGGTCACCATGAGTTTGAGGCCAGCTTGAGCTACACAGTAAGTTGAAGGCCAGCCTGAACTACATAGTGAGACCCTATCTCATAAGTGGGGGAAGTGGAACCAGGGATGTAGTTCACTAGTGGGGCACATGTATCACATTTGAGAAACGCTAGGCAAGAGATCCAGCACTGAAAAAACAAAACAGCTTGAAATCTCTGACTGCCCTCCTAGTAAAGATTAATTTGTTTGGAAAGAGATAGACCTGAATAATAGTAGTACAACACTAGCAGTAGTAGTGGCAGTAAATATATATGAAAATAAAGTAAGAAAGAGGGGGCACAGATTGAGCAGTCCTTCATTCGCAGCAGCTCCCCATTGAATCCTTGAAGCCATAGACAGTGCTAATGCCTATCTCTATGATTTTCCGATCTTCACTGTAGTATTGCTGTGCAGTACCAGAGTTCATCTGTCCTTTTCCATTTTATGCTAATAACTTGTTGATCTTGCCATTATTAAATAACAATAGTATTACTGGAACATGTACACAGTGGTACCATGACAGTGAATCTGCTATTCAAGAAGGCTACTAAATAACTAAAGGGTAGGTAGCATATGTAGCACAGAATCTCTGGACAAAGGAATGATTCATGTCGCTGCCAGGACAGAGTAAAGCGGGCTAGAGATGTCATTACTTCTCAATGGTGAAAAATTTGAAATTTATAATATATATCTAAAAGTTTTCATGTAATGGTTTGGGATTGAGGTTGACTTTAGATGACTAAAATTGCAGAAATTGAAACTTTGGCTAAGAGGGATATACCGTGTGGACTCTTGGGCTCTGGGGATGGTGGCTTGTACTGTCGCTGAGATAGTAAACTGCTAAACCTTTCTAAGTAAAGAAGTAACATGACGTGATTTATGTCTATATCCTAGGCAACCTTGAGTAATCCTTTGTGCCCTCACTATATTCACCTGTAAAGCAGGGTTAATTATAGCATCTACTTAAGAGGATCATTGAGAAGTAAGTCAATATTTATAAAATGCATAGAAAGGTAACTAGTACATACTAAGTTTTACAAATTTTTAAATATAATATGAGTCTTTCCAACTACTAGATTGGAAATACTGGTAGAGATGCAAGTTTCAAAGATCAAAAGATCTTTGAAAGATTGAATGTGATGTTAGGGCCAGGCATGGAGGCACACACACGTACTCCCAGCACTTGGGAGGTTGAGGCAGGAGAATCATTGGGAGCTCGAGACCAGCCAAGGCTGCAAAGTGAGCTCAAAACCAGCCTGAACTGCATAGTGAGACCCTGTCTCAAAAAGACAAAAAAAAAAAAAAAAGGTGAAGACATTAAGAGGAACCAAGTATAGCAGCAGAGGTGATGAAAAGTGGTGAAGATCAATCAAATGTAACAGAGTGGCAGAATAGACTAAGAAATTAGATCCAGGGCTAGGGAGATAGCTCAGCAGCATAAGAACCTTCCTGGCAAGCACAAGGTACTGAGCTTGATCCCTGTTACAAAGAAAAAAAAAATTAGATCCAACAATATGCTACAGACAAGAAACACATTTAATTCAAAAAGAAATTCATAGACTGAAAGGCAAAGGTTGGAAAACAATACTTTATATCACAAAAACCCAGAAAGGGGCTGGGGAGATGGCTCAGTAGAATAAACGCTTTCCTGGC